TTGTATACAAATCTTATATACACTATATTTTAAGTTACTGTATATAAATAATAAACATTACAGAATTAAACAGCTAAGATGTACAGTGATGTGGCTAAAGAATTCTTTCAGCAGGCTTCCTTCAGGAGAATGCAGGTCTGGCAAAAACTGGTCTCAGATCAGAGATGGTTAGAGTGATGTTAGGAAATCAGTGCATTGTAGTTCTGTTGTTTAATTCTTTAGCAAAACGTAAGCAACATACTACTTTCTCCTATGTGACACATTAAAATTTGTTAATATACCAGTAGTAAATGATTTATCTCATATTTTTTAATACTTATTTTAACCACAGACATTACTGTCGCTGATTTTCTGAAATCCTATTTACTTTTCTCATATGCTATTTGCCGAAGGAACCGGATGTTCGAAAATGCTAACAAAACTGGTTACAAATGACATCAGACTTGAGTTCTCTATATATTAAGTAATTAAGAGGTAAGTTTACCTCACGAATAACTTTGCATTTCAGTCTGTATCACCTTTTAAAGTAACAGCGGCATATTCAGAATCTGACTGTCAAGGTAGCTGTGCAGACGCAGGGTAGGAATTTGGATGGGTGAAGAGATTTGGCGTGACAGTTGTAGTACGTTTTGTTGCTGTTTGACATGCATGGTATTGTTCTTGTATGTAAGAACGATGCTCACCATGCTGCCTGTTCTGTCCAGATGGGAGTAAGCTCTCTGCAGCAGGTATATGATGGCATCTTCCATCTTACATGGGGTCTATAGGCAAATAGTAGAGGGTCGAATAATGAGTTCACCTGCAATTCTATGTGGGCAAGCATCAGACTCTCCATGACTTTCAGTACATGAGATTAGAAGGCAACTGCTCTGTACTCATTGAGGTTTGTTGACACTGGTTTCTTAAGTACTGGGACTAGGCAGGATGTTTTCCACAGCACTGGCATCCTCTGGACACAGGCTCAAGTTAGAGAGATGCTGCTGAAGACCAGACTGCTGAC